TTTCTTCCTCAGCTGGAGTAAGTGATAAGATTATTTGTTCATCAGTTACCATTCCAACACTTACATCTGCATTATCTGTTGAAATAATTCTGCTGCTGTTAGAGGTGAATTAATTGGTAAATTATTAATTAAATTTGAACAGCATTTTCTTCTTGGAGAATTTTATTTTATTTATTATCATTCCAATTGAAACCTTTAAAGAGAATCAGATAGAAGCTATAAAATAAAATATGGTGAATGAGCAATTACAGATGAATGTTTTGTAATAGTAAATAAAAAGATCAAAATAAAAAATACAAATGAATGTATTCTTTGTAATAAAAAAGGGAAAAAATTGTAAAAATGAATATGTAGGGCGCCTCAAGTGGTATACTTGCAAATATGTCTTGTAAATATTCTTTTATTTTATTACCTTAGGCTAATGCCAACAGTACTTAGCATTGGTACTGTAGAGTAGGAACTGCACAGTATAGAGTATTTTGGGAAGGCTCCTAGCTGTGTGCAAATATGGAGTCCTTGGGAATTGAAAACCCTTAGCTGTGTGCAAAGATAGGGAGATTTATATATTGGACTTTTATATTTATTTTATCTTATATATTTATTGGACACATCACGAGCTGTATTTTGCATGCTCGCAATATATAGAATACATGAATATGAAGGGGGAGGTTTAGAGAAAGAATATCTGGAATTGTGGTTCTTGATTCATGTCTGGAGTTTTATAGACAGAGGATTTGAGAATATTGATGGAGTTGAAGCTATAAGGCAAGAATAATTATATTATAATCACTTTTTTTATTATAAGTGATTCATAACTCATATCTTTTTTTTTGCAACTAGGTCAGAGTCATCTAGTTTAGCATCCTCAAATAGGAAAAATCGTAACAGAACCATTTCTGCAATTGTATCAGTGAAGATCTCATTATTTGAAAAATTTCTACTGATTATGGATGTGCAGAGGCTGGTAAATCTTTTGATGGCAATAATGGGACAAAACTTCTCCATGAAAGAGGTATAAAGACTCCAAAGATGAAGGATATGTTCCAGTCTCTATGTTTAGCTGTTGGAATGGAAAAAGAAAAAATAAGAAAATTGCAATCAATTGGGTTTATACATGCAGGTAGGTTTGATGGAAGAATTTTTTCACATTGTTTAGTTTAAAGACTAGTGCCGTAAATTATGATGATGGTAGTAATTGTATTTACAGCACATAAAAAGTGGTTGCAATTACCTTTGCAACCACTTTTGCAACCATCCTTTTTCCTTTTTTGGATTACGGCACTAGTCTTTAGTTTAGTTTATTAACTCATCCAATCATTCTCTGTGAACGAAATTTAGGCCTGATGACACTGTTACTCAGATTGGATTCTCCTGCCAGCTATGTATGTCATATAATATACTTCGGACAAAAAATTTAGAAATTCCTTCACAAATTACACAATTCAAGAAGGCACTTCCTGTAATTATGTTGGCATGGAAGGCGAAGGTATTTACTTTTGTATATGCAGTTACTTATGCCTGACAAATTTTGTTATTTTTACAGACGATTGTTAGAAATACAATCGAATTTATAGAGGAAAAGCAATACCTGGAAGTGGAAAAAAGTTCAGAAGACTGGCTTCGAAATTTGCAAAATAGCTGTGAGTTATCTCCTAAACGAAAAACATTATATCGACCGATGCTTCTAATAGCCCAAATAAAAGAACAAGACTAGAGCAATTAGAACGAGAAAAAAATTTATGATTTAATTAATAATGACGTTGGTTAGAAAATTTATTTGTTAGTTGTTTCTGAAATTTCTGAATTCAAATAATATTAGTAATATAATTAATCATAGAGGAAATTTTATTGATTCAATGATGCTCAAACTTAATGATAGAAATAATAATTATATAACTTGATGAAACCAAAAATCATTCATTAGTCAGTTCAATAATGTATGATTTTGCTAATTATATTGGAAAAACTAACAAGAATTTGAGTTGTTTAACAAATTTAGATTAAATATAACTAACATCTAAATACTTGAAATAGTATTTGAAGTTTATTATCATTTTGATTACTTGGATCAAAAAAATTCTAATAAAATTACTGAATATTTAATTAATACATAAATTATTATGATTTAATATATTTAAGTGAACAAGTATTTTTACTGTTATTGTTGTGATGTAATTTTTGTTTTCTATGATCCAACTAATTTCAATTTCTATACTGCTCCTGCTACTCACCAAATGATAGCTCATAATACTCCTGATGGTTACTCTGACATAGTTTTTATTTGTAGTGAATGTAAAAGAGATTACAACAATGACACTCACCCATGCTGTGAAAAATGTGATAGGTTAAAGAGGAACAGAAATAGGTGCTTTTGTAGTCATTTGAAAGCCAAATCAGCTAAACCACTTTCTGATAAAGAACTACTTCACAAGCTTTTAGTTCTCGTCTAGAAAATAAAACTAGAAAACTAGAAAGAGAGTTATCAAACTGCCAAAGAAGAATTAAATATCGAAAGGGAAGAAGTAATTAAATTTCAGGAAAAAATCTGAGGAATGAAGTAAAAAGCAGAAACAAGAATTATTGGATAAGATTAAACAACAAGAAGCAGAAAATATTAAATTAACCCAGAAAATTGAACAATTGAAAACTTTAACCCCTCAAGAGTTAGTCATCAAAAATATAAAAAGTCTCAAATATTATTTTGGCAATGGTTCTACGCTCTCAGAAAAATGATTTTTTTTCATGTTAATATAATATATAACAATAAATTACACGTTTCATGTGTGAATTGTGAAGGGCAAACAGTTTATAAGTTATAGAAGTATCGAAGTTTTATATTGTTAAATAGATAAATTTTTTTACATTATTTAGAATTTTTTGTAAACAAAGCTCTGTGTACTTCTTTCAAGATATTTTTTATAAGCACCGTTGCCATCACCTTTACAGCTTTTCCCCAAAAGCAACCAACTATATTCAGGATTTTTATGTTTTTCCTTGAATGACGAAAGCATGGAAACTCAAATTTTTTGGGTTCTTTATTTTTAATTTGCTTTCCCACCAAAAATTTTGCAAATGGAGAATACTCGACATGATTGTTGTTCCACATATTAATTAATATTAATGTGTTTCTAATAGTGAACGTCGTATGTATAGATAGTAAGTACTCATAATAGGTTCAGGTTCAATAAATATAATATTCATTTTATTTATTTTATTGACGCAATGAAAATGTAGAAATAAGAAATTATTTTGATTTATTTAATTAGCTTGTACTAAGTAAAATTTTAATTATGATTAGCGATAGTCAAAATAAATAAAACAGGTTGTGAATTTGTTTTTATAGTGAGTGATATTTGTTATTTACCGTTGTCAATTCCACCTATTATCCATCAAATATTTAACTAATTCAGTCATTACATCGTTGTAATCTCCTATACGAAGAGCAACAGACAAAGAATTTACAAAAGATTGGTGATCCGTTGACTGATAATTTCCGGCGTGATTAGGACAAGAAAAACGCCAATTCATCATCTGATCAACATTCGAACAACCAGTACATTTAATACGAGCACGATTGGATATTTCCATGGAGCCGGTCGAACAGCCGGTATGAGCACGGTTGGATATTTCCATGCAGCACCTATTTGTTGTATGAACCCAATTGTAGATGTTCTGATTTTGACATCCAACTACTGGACAGGATATTCTTAAAGGTACGAATCTTTCACTCATGTTTTGTAGTGACAATTATTATATATGGAGAAAGGCTGTTTTTATATAAAAATTTAATGTTATCTGTGTTACTCAAGATTTATTGCAAACAAACATATATATAACTTAAAATGATCATCATTTGAACTTTTTGAGAAATCTTTGTTGAAACTTTAGAAAGATATTTAGTGTGAGAATTTTTTAACTTTAATGTGATGGAGTAACATTGTCACCTGCTCCTCTAATATCTCTCGGGGTACATCTTCCTTTTTTTGGTTTCTTGTTGTCTGTTCAGAACTTTGTTTTTAATAATAAATGTTTTTCATTCAATTCTCATTTATAAACTGGTTGATATTTTAGCTATACAAAAATAATGACGGTGAGAAAAAAATTAATCACATGAGATAATTCTTCAGTTCAAAACTGCTGTATTAATTAATATTTTTGATATTCAATAGGTTGAACATAAAATAAAAAGATCAATCACTAGCCACTAATTGTATCTGATATGTTGTTATTTAATCTGATAAAGATATTTATTCTGAAAAATAGGAATAGAAACAGCAATTTTTTATATAACTGGCGCCGAACATGGAAAGAAGGTTTTTAAAGATCAATTTCCCATCAGAACTCTCATTTCTTTCGCTAAAGAAATGGTATTGAAGAATTCAAGATGGCTATTAATTATAGTAATCCAAATAATTCCCCAAATTCTTTTTGTATACTCATTATCTGTTGGAATTGCGTAAGCTTGCTGATTCATGTACTAATATTTTATTAAATTAAAAAGTTTCGCGTATTCTTTATTGTTATTTTATTTAAATATAATGGGTGAAAAATGATTGTCTTTATGTCAACCGCAACGTATTTATGCTTGTTCTTTCTAAGATAAACCCACCAGGACAAATTACTGGCTCTAGTTTTAAGAAATTTTATTTACAGGTATCGATTTCCTAATATTTGTTTTCTTGGGAGGATCAGTAAACCGAATAATTAGTTAAGCAATTCCATCCAATGGGTTTGTCATCATAATCTAAAGTTTTATCAAAAGAACCATAATCCTCAGAATGAATAAACCATCGCACCAAATAGTTCTCGTTATAATGTTTCCTTTTAGTATTCCCGCGATTATTTTCAATATTGGTGATTAATTGTCTTTGTCTATTTCAAATGCTTGTGATAATAAAAGAGGATTAGATTAGAGAGGAAATTACAATTAAAATGATTATAATTAATATTAAGACTAATTTTACATGTTTTACAAACTTTGTCAAAATGGCAGGTTTGAGAAATTAACATGTGAATTCAACGACTATTCCATTCTTTACAAGCAGACATAGTCTCAGGTCTTTTCAAATGATAAAAGCCGAGTCTTTCTTACACTTGAGAACCTGCATTGAAAGCTAGTTTTCCTAAATGGCATAACAACACCACCCATAACATGCTTGTGATAATGTCATTCCATTCTTCAGGGCTTAATTCCCAAATATTGCAAATGGTTTTTAGTAATAATAACACAACTGTAGGCTTTAGCATTTGAGCTGATTTCGGCGAAACCTAAATACTCTTTACTTTTGCAGAGAAAACTTTTTTCTCATTGAGTTTACCAATATTTAAATTAAATTCTTAGAAATTACACCAATTATGATCGTCGTAATTTCTAAAAAAAAAATGTCATCTTCATATTTAATAGATAAAGAAGAATTAATAAAAAGTTATGAAAAACAATTGAGTGATTATGATAAAGAATTTAATGAGTTATTAAAAGAACTTTCTTGGGAAATTGAATCATTGGAAATTAAACAAAAGGTTTTTTTTTACAAGTTTTCTATTTATTTAATTTCATTGGTTATATATATGTTTGTTTTAATATATATATACATACATATATTAGGAATATGATTCATTGAAATCATGCCCATTTGACATAGCTCATAAATTTCCTGAAAAATCATACGATGAACATTATAAAAAATGTGAATTAAAACACCATGGTATTAGAAATGAACGTGGAGTGGTAATTATAACCATTATTATTAATTGTTAATATTATTGATATATATATATACACACACACACATATTATTCGAATATATGTAAAATTAGAAAAGAAAACTGCCAAGTTCAAAGTTTTTTTATCAAAATGCAAGTTCGGTTGTTTCTTTTGAAAAAGGTTTGATGTAATTATTTATGCCTTATTATATTATATTTAGAAAATACAATAAATTAATAATAGATCAATTACTAAAAACATTGGCAAAAGGATTTTCAAATATTGGCGTAGGATCGAGTCTTTCAGTTGATCAAAGACTTGAGGAATACACAAAAATTATTGAATTAGCTGATAAGATTCGTTCTGAAAATAATCTATTAAATAATGACCCTTATAAAAACTTTGATGAAACATGGGACGCAATACAAAAGATGAAAGGTAAAATAAATAAATAAAAAAAAAATAATTATAATAATTATGATTAAATTTTTTTTATTTGGGATTTTTTTTTTTGAAAATTAACAAGAACAAAATCAAGGACAAAAATCACACGAAGAATTATTAGCTGAACAACGTGACTATAAACGCAGAAGAAGGTCATATAGAGCCAAAAATATTAGAATAACTCAACGAACACCCACACAAGTAAATAATTGTTTATTTAAAATAAAATTGGAAAAGATAATATCTTTAATGTTTGTTTATGTTATTATTATCATTGATAATAGGTATATCGCGATCTTATTGCTGCATATACGGATGACTTTAGATTATTAGCAGAATTTGAAAATAAAATGTTGACAGAAAATCAAAAATAATATAATCTAATATTTATATATGCATACACATACACATATATACAATGTATATAAAATACCTGGACAAATGTATTTGGACAAGATTTTTAAACACTTACTCAAATCTCACACATAAAGCTTATATAACAAGTACTGAATAATATTTATACAAAATTTTACACTTCTAACGTTTTATCAATCGAAAAAATAACGGAATTCAATTATAATAATAATGATAATCAAAAATTAAATGGTGTGAACGCTTGTCTACTAAAATAACATTAGTACGAAAAAAGTAATAGTTTAACTGGTGGGGATATAGGTTTCTTGGATTGGATTCGGTAGATGTTGTGCAAACATTGTTAAATGGTAGGGGGATTGATTATTAAAAAAAAAGAGAGAAGAAAGACGCTTATGAAAAATATCCTTTTTCCAAGCGCACTTCACAGATTCTTAAAATTCTGAAAATTGAATGTTTTTGATCATCCACCCAGGTAAAAAGAAAGTTTGTGATGGCAGACGAAAATATTTATTTATTACGACTTTGTGTCCTCCAGTGCTTTCCTTTGGAGGAATAGATTCGTTTTATATCTTGATTGTAAAGAATTTGTTGGATGTTGACCATTAAGCATTCCAGTCGATATTAAATATTTAAAAATATAAAAATAAAAAATTTAATATTTTAATTGGCCGACTATTGCTAAAGATTCTGCTTAGTGATGGTGGCCGAAACTAACCCATAGTTTAGTAATTTTGGCCTGATTTTTCTCAATTTTTGGCGAAATTGGCAAAACTTAAAATCGCCTAAACCAGGGTTGGCAAATTGACTGGTCCATTGAGAACTGATGGACTTTGAGCTGGTCCATTGCCATTAATAAAATA